TGTAGTGTTTCTCTTGATTGGCTTATGGTCTGCGGTAGCTACTTCATGTGTCCAACGTTATCAGGATGACTTAACTTTAATTGCATATTAAATATTATTGCAGATAAAAATATATTCTAATTAGAATCATATTAGGTTTATCCCAGATTGAGATTTTTATCTCAATTGCTACTCCTTATACACAACTTGTATTACATTATAGACTCCTTATACACGAATAATATCGAAATAAAGCAATATAATATAATACGGCTCCGTGTTGCAGTAGCTTAGCAATGAGTTACAACGCTGGGGGCCGCGGGTTCGAATCCTGCACCGAACAAGTATTTGTATGGCCTACAAATACTTCTTCCGGGTCTGGATGTTTGTCCTTCTGCAATTTATGTTTGTAAACTGCCTCTACGATACAGGAGAAAATCCTAGTGTGGAGGTAATTTTTTTATTTAGAATTAGAAATAACAGACAAATTCAAAAAAGTTCTAGTTAATGCCGATTCCTGATTGAAAAAACATGAAATAAAATATTTTTAGATACATTTAAACTACTAGTATATTCCTACTTTTACTACTAAATAAAAATATCATAAACATAGTGATTATATTTTTAGGCTGTTAAAGTAATCCGTATGGTACGGTTTATGATACTCATTTATTTCGCTACTTTATTTCCAATTATGCCAAGGCAAAATGCTTAACTTATTGATGTAGCTTGATTCGACATGAACCCTGACTTAAGCTTGAATGAAATCACATTAATATCTGTCAAGTGTAAATATAGCTCATTCGTTTGCTTCTTTTCGCTGTAAGCAAACCGAAGCTGATACAATTAAGGCACCTGTAGCTTTGTTATACATGTGTGCATATGCGTATTAGTGTAAATATATTTACGTTGTATATAGTTTGATTTCAAGACTATCTCTTTTATATGCGTTTGAATTGAAATATATTTTTGTTCAAAGATTCGTTCAATATGATTATACGATCTTTGCTTGTTACATTAATCAGAATTAACTTTATTTTAAAAACGAGCAGTAATTATATTAATAAGGTTTTTTTTTAATTTTAATAATAATACTAATAATAAAATATCCGTCGAAAAAAAACAAATCATAGATCCCATACCGCATTGATAATACAGTTAGGCTTTATTTTTAGTAAAAACTGTAAACAGATAATTTTAAACATCTATTCTAAAACTTAAAATTCACCAAGTGTGACTACACATTACTAATGACATAATGCGCGGGCTCCGCAAAGAGATACCAAGAAACAAACTAATCGGCCCGAGCGAACCCAACCAAATTACACCTCCGCAAAGACACGGGAATCGCACCAAGGACGCTGAGGTCGCTTGGTTTATCATTTACCTAACTAATCATTATATTGCAAATGCCATTTCAGTTTCGGAAGAATTCTAATAGCGGATTTTGGGGCCGCTTAATTTATAACTCATAATTTGACCGATCCAAGTTTGGATTATGACATACGTTAATGCTTGGGAATATTAATTTTGTGATTATTATTTTGGCGCCCGTCTATTTGTCAAAATAACTAAATAATTTAACTTTACGAATCTATTTCGTGTAAGTTAATTAATATTGTTACAACTTATGTTGTTATACATTTTAGAGCCAGGATGCAGCTATAAAATGGTTGTAGCACGTATGGTTCGGCTAGACCGGGAAAGGACCACGCATAAAATATCAGCGTGAATAAGCAGCTTAATGCTGCTGTGTATCATATGGTGAGTGTAGAGAACCGGAGATTCTGTCTACTGAAAACGAGTCATTTTTTCTTATCATCTACATCTAAGGATAGATGTAGATGTCTGTGAGTCACAGTCTATGTATATGCACTTACCATTGATATACTTACCTCTTTTTCATCCTTTTTATACAAAGAAGTAATTTTATCTATTTTATAATCGGCATTAAAGCAATTGTGTAGTTTGAATAATTTGTAATAATTGTCTCGTACAGTCGATTTCGTAATAACTTTAAGTTTTGTTTAATGAATTAATTCAATATCGGTGTCTAAATACATATAATATACTATGTTCTCATAAAATACTTCATGTTATGAAAGTATTCAAGCACGTAAAAATAAAAATAAAATTCGAAAAGTTCAAATTGTGCCGGGAATGTCAAAACTAAAGAGTTATAAGCGTCTACTGTTGGCGCATACTGTTTGGATCGATTAATGTACTACCGTCCTCTTTGTTCGTCGACTATACAAGCCGAATTCGCATCACGTAGTCGAAAAACTCAAATCGAGATAAACAACCTCCCCCCTCGGAGAGGTTGTAAGCAAGAACATTTTACCGGACGATTTTAGTCTTTAGCATGAACGGTTAAGGCTCGTTTTCGGATGAGCCGTCTCACACTACAATTGAATCAGTTCACGCAGCATCAAATCACTAAACCACTGGGCGGAGCGAGCGCAGACTCCGCCGGGGACTGCAAGACAGAGACGGAGAAAACCAGCTTTCACGATGCGCTATTAATGTTGGAATGAGAGGAACGTATTGTCTGCTGAGGGGTCTTGAGACAGCGGGTCAAATTTAAGAGCTATCCAAGAGCTTTTTGTCCGTACCCCACGGCGGTAATAAAAAGAATAGTGTCACTGGGCAGATTGCCTCTCATTCAGCACTTGACAATTAAATAAGTGCTGTTGAATGTTCGTTCGTCGGAATAACCCGTCATAATACGTGATTAATGCGTACGGTCGCTTTCTATCGATCAATTGTCAGCTACTGATAATTATGGAGTTAAATTTTAAGAAGTTGAGATTTGACTCTTCAGAATTTATCTTCATTTGTAGACACTTAAATTAAAATAGGCCCTTTTTATAAGAAAGAACACATTATATATAAATCGATATTAGGAGCTACTTAATAAAAAATGTAAAACACAATGTTCTGTAAAGATTAGTTTATTTAAAAATAGTCAACTGTAACAAATTTTCTTGACGATTTATAAGCTTAGAAAGTAAAAGATACATAGTGAAACAATTGTAAAATAAACCTTCATACAATAAAATTTACTTAGACTTAAGGGTATTCAAATTGAATCAAGCACGGGAGCAATGATAAATTTAATAATATCGCTCTAAGTAGATGAATAACAAAACATCCAAACTCCCCCTCATTTACATTTAATAAAATTAAATGATCCATTTACAGAAATTAATTAACGAGGTAACCACTGAAGCGTCTGCTAACAGCCACAACCCCACGAAACGAGGCGAATTGACAATGGGCTCCGACATAACAATAATAACGGCAATGATAATGCGCATCGTAATAACAACTCCCTTCGAATTATTAAAAACTTTTATTGGATGTCAATAATAGGCCACTTTTAAACTAAATGGAAACCGTGCAAATTGAAAAAGAAATTCAATTTTGAAATTCGTTCTAAATTGCGTTCTGTTTGTTTGATGATGCGTTAGGTTTTTGTTGTATTTTGTAGAGAAGTCTAATTATCTACACATTTAAATTATTTTAAGTACATATAAATATATTTTTTCCTTTTAAGTATATGGATTTTCTTTTGATAAGTTAATTAAGTAAAATAAATAAACCTAAGATCTGATATTTTTTACACGATTAGAGTTTGTCATCTACGCAAATTTATACTTAGTTCTGGAAGTTAAGTGCTGAGACAACAGACAGGCGTTAAAATTAACGCAATCTTAGATACAACGCCAAAAACGGGGGTTTATTACTGCAAAGCGTGTTTAAAAAGACTACAACATTACTTACCTACCATACGGTAAAGTTACAACTATGACTACAGTCAAACATTACAGTACCCACACATACTCGTAGTAAGGAAAAATCTAGAAAAATGTGGTTACACGAATATAAGTGCAAAAAATGTTTTTGTGATTATGTTATATTAAGATACGTTATGTATCTTAAAATAACATAGTAACCTTATTTATTATAAGTACATTACGCGTAAAGCGATTCAAGAAAAGAAAAATATTAATATCCCATAAATAGAGATATACGATGCGAACTTTCCGCCAAATTGCTACTTAAATATGACTAAATAGAACGCTTTAAAAAATTAACGATATCTCCGTAGCAATATCTTGTAATTTATACGGGTGCACCCTTTCGGAGTAAATCAAATAAATCAAATTAAAGTACTCAACCACGCTTCGGCGAACATACGAGTGCCCAAGACGTTTTGTCAAATTTATTATTTTATTTATATTTTTTTATTACTCTTTGCATTGTGGTATCTTTATTGTGCTCTCGAGTGGCCTGTGACAAATTTGATGACGATTGGGGTCACAAGCTGCAGGGTTAGTGATCTATGGACTTGGGGTACGTAAACGACAGTTTACAGTATTTTTGAGACGATCTCAGTTTGCATTGCGGTTTGAAATTGAATGGTTTTTGTGTAGTATCTCGTGATATTTGTAGAGTTGATGACATCGGTTTATATCTCTTTCAACAATTTAATATGATCATTGCAATAATAATAATTTCTAAAATATTCTTTACAAAGAATATTGATAATTCTTTTTGCCTTATTGTGAAACAGTCTTACACATTTATGTATCCCATATTTCGAGAAAAAACAATGATGTCGTTCTCAAAACTTATTTCATTTGACGCTTATTTGCATTAATTAATTAATTACAGCCTATGAAAAGTCAACATAGGCCCCAACCATAGATTGCCTAATAGCGGAGATATTCGAAATGCTTGGCAGGCAGTTTGGCAACCGCAGATTTTTATTATTTTGAGTTGGCATCAGGAAGGTTCTGCTGCTCATTTCCTGTTTAAGATTCTCTCTGTCGTCTCCTGCGACGTTTAAGTGCAAAATGATGTCACATTTATTTTTCATTGATTTGTTGATTTCATAGTTTTATTTCACCAAAAAGATCAATAAACCGAATTATACTCATGCCTCTTTTTATTTACAATATTAAAAAAAAACGATAATCCTATAAAGCATAACATAATCTTCTTCTTTCCTTCAACAGGACGAAATGGAAAAGGCAGACAGCAGTAGGTCTAGAATTGTTGGCCGAAGCTGGAAATTATGCGGCGTTCCAGCGGTTGTATGGTGGATACTGGGCGGGCGTTCCCGCATATCCTGCGCAACCAGCGCCTGCAGCTGCAGACCTGTACTACCGGCAAGCGGCTGCGACTGCAGCAGCCGCTGCCTCAGCCACCGCCGCTAACACGCTCCAGAAACCGTTGCCTTATCGGTAACTACATCTATAATGTTGCTATTCAATCCGGCATTCAATGAGTGTAATACGTTGTCTGCAAGATTTTTTTTATAAAATATGGGTGGCAAACGAATACACATTCCACCGGATGGTAAGTGGATAATGTGGCCCATGGACATCTACATATACCTCTGATTAGAAATCAAAGTGCAGATTACCTCTTAAGAACTAAGACGGAATACCTCGTTTCCAGTAAAAAGGAGTCCTCGGTTCTCTACACTCACTATACGAAACACAGTAGCATTGAGCTGTGAGAATGTTCTACTACCCCGGTCGAGCAGACCCATTCGTGCTACAATCATAATATAGCTGCAGCTCTACCACGTTATAAATATACCTAACGTACCTATTCTATTTTTGTTGATTAATTAGAAATGGCGACAGGTCACAGCCACAACGTGCGATCCCCGAATGCCAATAAGGCTGAAGGGGAAAATTTACAAATCGATCATCCGACCTGTCGTCATGTATGGAAGTGAATGCTGGGCCGTCAAGAAGAAGGATGAAAATAGACTGCATGCGAATGAAATGAGAATGTTACGATGGATGTGTGGTGTGACAAGGATGGGTAAGATAAGGAATGAGTATATAAGAGGAAGCCTGAAAGTAGCGCCAGTGGTAGAAAAGGTGAGAGGAAGCAGATTGGCATGGTTTGGGCATGTGATGCGGAGGAATGAAAGTCATGTCACAAAACGAGTGTTGAATATGAATGTGGAGGGACACACGGGCAGAGGAAGGCCGAATAAAAGATGGATCGATTGTGTGAAGAGTGATATGAGAATGAAAGTAGTAAGTATGGAAATGACGGCTGATAGAGAGGAATGGAACAAAAAGATTTACTGCGCCGACCCCAGATAATGGGATATGGTTTAGAGAATGATGATGAATTAGAAAACTAATATTTATCGTCATTGATTTTATATTTCTTATTGATAAGGAAGTTAAGAAATCAAATACCATACCAATACCATTACATCTTGTTCACACATCTATACTTTTTCGGGTCGTGATTTATTACAATAATGTTTTTATTTTTTGTGGCTCTTGAGCTCCCATAAGTGTCTTTACATACTCAAAAAACTGGCAAACTCCGTCAACGAATCTTCACGATGGTTTGTTCGATTAAATTTGAACTTTAAATTTAAAATTTGTTTTTTAACAAATGTGTGTACAGGTCGTTGTTTCAAAAAAAATAATATGGACAAGAGAATCAAACTGATGATTTCATTCATTTTTATATGACAAAAAGTCTTAGATGAATTCTCCGATTTTGATATTTGCTTCTTCTTCATCAGAAAAGATTCAATTTGAATTAACAATGACCCAAAATTATAGGTTTCGAACTTTGTTGAATTAACGTAAGTCAACATTGCAATTCAAGAAATTAGTTTTGAATGTATTGTATAATTTAGAACACAATTTAATATATTGACGCAATGTTTATTTTGTTTGTGTATATAGAACGAACACACTGAAGTCTTTTATATTCTGAATACAATTCTTAAATTTGTTACAGGTTATATCCTGGTGCGCCGTTAGCAGGTGTGCCGCCTCTTGGGCTAGGATTGCCCGGTCCTTCGGCTCACCTGGGCTCCCTAGGGGCGCCAGCTTTGGGTGCTTTAGGTTACTATGCCCAAGCTCGACGCTCACCGTCCCCAGATCTGGACCCAGGTAGTCCTGCGCCACCACCACGATCCCCTAGGGAACCCTCAATGGAGAGACGCACGGACGACGAAGATGACGATGAACCTATACACGTTTAATCCAGTGTTCCATAACCCAGTGATCTAACCAGTGATAAGAATTTGACTTTTACCCAAAATAATGGATTACGAACGTTTAAAAAACTAAAGTATTGTGATATGGATAAGCTTGTGTGATACAAAACATAAAGAAGTTACAAGTGTTGCTGGAAATTAAATATGTGAAGACTTTAAGTAAACGGACATGTATAGTTCGGTAGACGAGGACTTGTAAGGTTCGCTTACATGCATTGACTGGTTATGGTTTATACTCACATGTTGATTTGCACCGAAATCCTATAAATTTGCAATCTAAGAGAGAAGCCATACGATGCGTTGCCGCTTCGCAATAATTTCTCATTGGATACAACTAACATGCAATACAACCGCAGTCGGTGAGCTGTCCCAACGAAACAACTTCGCTGTTATAGCGGGTTAAGAGCTAGACTCCGAAACGCTATAGATAATATAGCCCTTAAATCTATAAGCCTATATAGCATTGCTTTGCGCAAGGCGTCGTGTACATCACCATGCTATGCGCGACCTCGTGGTGTCTCCGCTGCAGCTCAACGTATGGCCTCGCTCCAAAAAAATCCAACAGCGAACGTAACAGTGAAGTGTGGACACTGGTCCATAGGAATTATGTGATATTATAAGCCGAGACTCGTTTTAAGTAGACATATGTAAGTAATTGTGTAATATAAATAATTAAATCGATGTCGTGTAACTATTAGAATATATTATTTGCTTTGTAATTTAGTAGACTTTATATTACTAAACCGAAATTAATCGTTTACAGTAGTGTGCTCCGTAATATAACTAACGTCAAGAAATGCCGCTGATGAAACTGTCTTGTATCTTAAACCAAAAACAAAATATTTATTTCTACGCTTTGAGCACAAAAAAATTGTTGGTTATAATATAATAAAAGGAAATTATTTTCTGAAGATTTTTTACCGACTGGTTTATTGATAGACACACAGAAATATTTACGCAATATAATCTTGAATAGCCCGAAGAATAAAATTGTAATAGCTGATTCAAGTTACTCGCTTTAAAGTTATGTTCGTACCTAAATATATTAAATCAGTCGCACATCACATAACATCGAAAGGATTTTAAGTCCAGAGATGACACGAGCTCTTTCCTAGAATGTGTCGTGTGGTGGTACAGTTAGAGACTCCATTACCTCATGTCATCCTGTGGGTGTCGTAAGAGGCGGCTACGGGAAATGTAATAAAAAATCTTATAACTTTAGATGGTATACACATAAAACCCAGCCCAGCGTAGGCAGCAGACTCGAGCGCGCAAAACGTCAATCCGCAGTCAGCTTAAACAATCGTGTCTGTGTTCAGTGTTCAGACTATTAAAAGAAGAAAGTAGAAGAATAATGCACCTACTGAAATGCACCACTAAAAGATTTTGCCATACCCGCGGTGAGTATGCAAGTTGAGTACATCAGTCACAGAGTGAATGACGTAATAAATGTTTTATATCCAAGATTCAACTTGACTCAGTTACTTTTCTCCCAATTTATCAGTTTATACTATTACATTGTGGCAATGTTAGAAAAAAGAACGATCATAAAAATGAGACAATTTGAAAACCATGTAAACTAACGAACTCGGTTGAAAACTTTGTATAGTATTCTGAAACCATCAAATGTTCACGTTAAAAATTTATATGATTTAACATAGCTCTGTGCAAAGATACTGTGTATTATAATATAAATATTATATAACTATTACATTATATGTATGTATTGTTAGTATTAAATACACAATCCTAAAATAATTTTGTAGGTATATGAGGATGTACCTAAAGCTATTATAGTTATATGGCGATGTACTTAAGCAATCCCAAATGTGACATTTCATGTCAATAGATTTTGTGGTGTTTTGTAATTAAAATGTTGTCAATTAAACTTGCTTTCGTTTCAATTGATGTCTTACACCTACTGCTCTTAAGCAAGAGAAAGTATTTTCACTTGCCTTTATATGTGCCGTAAGTATTTTTCGTTTGTTTTAGACGCTTTCATAAATATTAAGCAAACAAATAGTTAGGCAACAAGGCCATTAATTGTTGGATCATTAAACAACTGTATAAAAATGCGTAGAAGCAATCCATTTGGGCGGTTAACAGCTGTAACAAATACCTGAAAGAACCGGCGCTGCGCGGCTACTAACTTCACTAAGTCACGCCACGCCACACGGTTAATAGAAGCATGTTAAATTGTGTGTGGTATCTCCATTTAAGACAACCGTATACTGTTGGTTAGATACATAAATTCCGTGGCTACTGTTCATTACAACTGCAACTTACAAGTAGTTGCACAATCGCAACTTGTAATCACTGCTTGCTCACTACACGTTTAAGTTGCAAACGCTGTATTCAGAGGCAGCACGGGACTGTTATTAATAGAATCCGATCTCACGATTAATTTGTGATCGCTATTTGCAGACTTATTACTTATATGTAGTTTTGAATGTGTTCTTAGTACGCGAAACATTGCTATGAGCCATAACTCAGATAAGTCAATTAGATATCATAATTATGTTTAGTAAAGGAAGCGACTGTAACAAAAACTAAGTTTGATTTATTAAATATATAATATTAGTACTCAAACATATATATTTATACGTTTGGACACTATTTTTTCTTACTTACGTAAGATATACGGACCAGCAACGAACAGCAGCGTCGAAAGTGCGAGAAGTCTGATACTGCGATTGTAAATGCACATACCAAGCGTGACGATTCGTCGTTGACGCCGCAAAGAGGCAAACTTCAATTTTTAAAAAAATTACCGGAGAGCAAGAAAACTACTTACTAGTACTTTTCCCTTAAGTCTAATATATTTAATTTTCTGATGAAAAAAAGGTAGTAATATGGGAATAATAAATGTTTTCTTGCTTTCCTGTAATGTTTTGAAAAATTGAGGTTCGCCTCTTTGCGGCGTCAACGATGTATTAAATCAAAGAGTAAAATAAAATATTTTTAATCGATATAGGTTAAAAATAATTCTTTATTTTTAACACTGTTTTGACTGTCCTTGGAAAAAACACCAAGGAACACAGCGGAACTTTTCAAGTGAAAATCGTCCCCACTGGAAGAGTGGACATTTACGGGCCGATGAACAAAATGAACATATTTTTGTCGCGTTGAATATTATCTCCTGCATAGTCGAAGCGCTATACGATTTATTTTCGTCCTAATAATTTATTTAGATGACTATTGAAGTAGCCAAGTCATTTAAATGAAAAAAAATTATTTAATGAAAATACTTATTTTAATATTTACTTTTCAGAAACGCAGGTTTCCTCACGATGTTTTCCTTCACCGCTGAGCACGTGGTAAATCAGCGCATAGAATTGCAATTAACAATTTCATTAGTGGCGACAGGAATAGAACCGGGGTCGCTCGTGTTGCTTAGCTTCTGGGTTACTTAAGATCGAGAATAAATTTATAAAATTAGTTTTACTGTATGTAAGGATTTCGTATTACGTGCTTTAATTCAATTCACCATCAGCTTATGATTTATTTACAAAGCGATATTCAGTAATTATATCAAGTCTACCTGGCAGTCCTGTCCTGAGTGCCATAAAGTGTTTTTTTTAATATTATTTATGGTACAAACTATAACCAGAATAGTATAATAAAGTATAGTAACAAAATATAATGAAATATACGACACCTTCAAAATGAAATAGTGTGACAATTTTTTTTTTTGTTATCGCTTTACAAAGCTATGATGATATTTATTGTCTTATACTTTGCTGTGTGAGTTGGGCATTGCATTTATAAATCCACATAACTATGAAAGTTTCCCTATCTTTCATATATTTTTATTTTACTACGAAATAAATAATTAACATTTTTTTGTCAACATTGCGGTCCTACTTTCGAATTTCGTGAAATACGAGTAAATTGTCCTCGTTCACATTTACACAATTGTAACTCACGAAACTTGTGTTCGGCTTTTCTTGGATTTCCTTTAGAAGGTTTTAGTGTGCATAAAACCTATTTAAAAAGTAATCAGTCAGCTGCCGCTGATTGCTCGCGGGGCACGCTACCGGCCGTGTTCACAAAACGGAGCAATTAACAACACCCCCCCTTTGGCAGTTTCGCTCCCCTTCTACAATGCCCACGTTGCTGATCTAATCGTAAAACGTCCGTTTTCTAGAATCGCCTTTACAAACTATTGCGTGTTTTATCAAAAAGGGGCTGCACGGTGGCCAAATTGGCTTGAAGTTTTGACGACCTGAAAACTACCGAATGAACTACTGAGCTGCCGGAATAATATTATTATACATTAACGTAACGTAGCTTATACGCAACCACTAAACAAATTATTCGATACATCGAAAGAAAGAAAGCATCGATTACAGGGTCATTGTAGATATACCAAATTCTAATTTATCTAACAAAAATAGAACGAGAATACTCTAAAGTTTTGTACGTGGTAGATACATGTACATTAAACATTTAATAGTAGTTTAGTTTATTATGTTTCTAGAAACGTAATAAAATAATAATTATAAGCATAAAGTCATAATACCTTCCTTGTATATTTAAAATGCCGTTGCGTATTTAATACGTTAAAATGGTATGTTTGTGAACTGTCAAAAAACTTTTTTTAACAGTTTCAAACATGTAAGATGTTCGCAGTTTATGAAAACCTTTAACAATCTATGAAGTTTTTTCAATGACAAGACAATGCAAGGTGATTGCACCTATACCAGGTACAATTTTCTATAAAAAATCAAACCAGCGGTTAATACGCAAGATACTATGTAGTGCCACATGAATATTAATATTATTGGAACGTTCTTTAATCACGAGCATCATGGATAAGTATTCTGCGCTTGCAACATTTCTCCATGTATGTGTGTAAGCAATACTCATTGCTTTATACGCTAAATAAGTACAATACGGAATAAGAAATAAATTGATTGTCTTTTAACTTCGAAAATTTATAAAATAATTAAACCCTAGAAAAATTAAAACCTACTTTAAAAACA